TCAAGGCGAGCGCTCTACCACTTGAGCTACAGTGCCACTTCCGGTTTTCTGGTGGTTTATTGGAGATAGGAGTCTCACGGTAGTCTCACGGTTTCTCCTGCCCGGGCTGGCTTTGAACCGCGATCCTCAGATCTCAGCCTCCTGAGTAGCTAGGATTACAGGTGTGAGCCACCAGCGCCCGGCTTCACTTTACCACTTTGAATCACAGCTCCACTTCTGTTTTTTTGGTGGCTAATTGGAGAAAAGAGTCATAGACTTTCCTGTGGGGCTCACTTCAGACCATGATCCTCATATCACAGCCTCCTGAGTGGCTGGGATTACAGGCAAAAAATCTGCATTAGTTATTATTCCTTACCCCTCATCACCCCTTTTTTTTGTTAGAAGGACAATATTGGAGCTTGGACTTAACACCTTTATTGGTTGGGTTGTTTTGCTCACAGCTCGTGCTACAACTTGACCCATGCCTTTGTCCCTCATTCCCTTTTTAAAATGTCTACTGTGAAATTTGGGAAATTATGTAATCACTTAATCATAATAAAGAATTTGAAAAAAAAAGTCTACTTCTGGCCCTACAGTTTCCTTTATCTCTTGCATTTGTGTTTTCCATCTGAAAAATAGTTTGTAAGTTTCTTAAAATGTTAAAACAATTAAAACATGACTGAGCAATCCATTCCTATCAACCTAAGCAAGAGATAGGTAAGAAAACAGTTTGTCTACACAAAAACTTATAATGAATATTCAGAGAAGATTACTCATAAGCCAAAGTAATAGAATATGTTGGGTAAAAGAATAAGATGGTATTTACACATCAAGATTAGACATTTAAGCTGGATACCGGTGGCTCACCCCTATAATCCTAGCTACTCAGGATGCTAATTAGATCTGAAGTCCGAGATTTGAAGCCAGCCTGGGCAGGAAAGTCCTTGAGGCTCTTATTGTCAGTTAACCACCAGAAACCAGAAGTGGAACTGAGGTTCAAATTTATAGAAAAATCTTGGGGTCAGTGCCTAGGATCCTGAGTTCAAGCCTCGTGACCAACAAGAAAAAAAATAGATTAGACATTTAAGATTATTAATCTTCATTGATTTTCTACTGAATAGAATATTTACATGTATATATGAATATATGTGTTCATTTAATGTATAGAATTTTGAAACAGTATGCTGAGTGAGCTTGTTTGTGTCTCTTTTTTTTTTTTTTTGGTGCTGGTTTTGGGAATTGAGTATAGGGCCAGGCCTCTGTTCCTGAACTTTTTTTGCTTGGTTAGCTCATTATCACTGGAGCCACAGTTCTACTCCCTGCTTTTTTTTTTGTTGTTGTTGTTGGTCATGGGCCTTGAACTCTGGGCCTGAGTGCTGTCCCTCAGCTCTTCAGCTCAAGGCTAGCGCTCTACCCCTTGAGCTACAGTGCCACTTCCGGTTTTCTGGTGGTTATTGGAGATAAGAGTTTCATGGTCTTTCCTGCCCAGGCTGGATTTGAACCGAAATCCTCAAATCTCAGCCTCCTGAGTAGCTAGGATTACAGGCGTGAGCCACCGGACACCCTGCATAATCCCTGCTTTTCAAATGTGGTAAATTAGAGATATGAGTCTCATAGACTTTCCTGCCCTGGCTGACTTCAAATCATGATCCTCATGTCTCAGTTTTGTTAGTAGCTAGGATAATAGGCATGCCACTGGTGCCTGTCTATTCTACATTTATAACTTAATGTTTTCCAATTATGAATATTTCATTGCTCTGAAAGTACTTCTCTTCAAATGAAAACAACTCATAATTACACAGTAGATATTCATAGAGATAATATTGCTAAGTGTTAATGATAATTTGAAAAATTGTTTCCCCTCTAATAATGTAAATATCATTTTATGACAATATACATACATACGCACACACACACACACACACACATATATACTTTCAGCTTTGGGTGTAATTTATATATGGTAAAATTACCTATTTCCATAAGTCACCACAACCACTCTTACACATTTTCATGTGCCCTTTTATAGATTAATAGGTCACTCCTAGCCCCAAGAAGCCATCCCAATACATTTTAACTTTTTAAGTTTAGTGATAATTTATTCAAGTATATTTACAGAGCTTTGGAACTTATTACAATCTAATGTTAGAATATTATCACTACCTCAGAAAGAAAGTTGGGCTTATTTCAAGTTCCTCTACCCACCTCTACCCCTAGGTAACTGTGAATCTGGTTTCTACGGATTTCCTTTTTTGTCTTACAGTATAGTGTTCTTTTGCGTCTCCTTTTTTGGACATAAAAAGCATTAACTTTTAGGGATTTTCATGACTTCTTTTAAAAATAGGGTATGACTGTGCTAATGATGGGGTCAGCAGATGCTCTTCCAGAGGAACCTTCAGCTAAAACTGTCTTCGTAGAAGACATGACCGAAGAACAGTTAGCATCTGCTGTAAGATACATCAAATTTTATGCTTCTTTACTGCTTTATTAAGTACTTTGGTTAAAATATCTTTCAGAAAATAGCATCTAAGGGCTGGGAAAGTGGCTCAGTGGTAGAGTGCTTGCCTTGCATGCATGAGGCCCTGGGTTTGATTCCTCAGCATCACATAAGCAGAAAAAGCCGGTAGTGGTGCTGTGGCTCAAGTGGTAGAGTGCTAGCCTTGAGCTGAAGAGCTGAGGGACAGCGCCCAGGCCCAGAGGTCAGGCCCCATGACCTGCAAAAAAAAAAAAAAGAAAGAAAATAGCATCTAAATATTTTCTTTCAATTGTTTGTATTAAAATGTATGTTTTTAAGTTAATAGAATTGTTTTGTTTTTGAAATTAGCTTAAGAGAGCCTTTCTGCTTAATCCTAAATGACATTTTTTGACTGTAAATTTTAATTATTACTGTTCTAAATTTTAAGTGAATTTATTAAGGTATAAGTGCATAACTCAGGGCATGTACTCTAAAGTCTCAAAACTATATTTTAGACTAACTTGATTTTACAGATGAGGTTATTATAAGATATGCACACAAAGACACTAATATAAATTACCTATTATCTTGCTGATAGCACTATTGAAAAATTTGCCATTTTTAATGAGAAAAGAAGATCAAAGTAATTTAATGCTTGGATATTTCACTTTTTAAAATCTTAGTTTATCCTGGAGGTTTTTTTGATTGATTTTTTTTTTTTTTTTGATGTTGGCGATCAAACCCAGGTCTTTGAACATGCTGGGCAAGTACTCTGTAACTGAACTGTGTCCCAACTTCTACCCTGAGTGTAAATGCAAACTAATTTTAGAAACTGGCCAACACATATCTTTTAAACAAACAAAACTTATTCATTTACTTTTTTAACATTTAGCACTTAAATACTATAATACCTCCTTTTTGTGTCAGTACTGGGGCTTGAACTCAGGATCTCTTTGCTCTTGTTTACCTTTTTTTTTTTTTTTGTCCGTTGTGGGGCTTGAACTCTGGGCCTGGGCATTGTCCCTGTGCTCTTCAGCTCAAAGCAAGCACTCTACTACTTGAGCCACAGCACCACTTCTGGTTTTCTGGTGGTTAATTGGAGATAAGAGTCTCATGGACTTTCCTGACTGGTCTGTCTTTGAACCATGATCCTTAGATCTCAGCTTCCTGGCTTACTCTTTTTTTATTCATAATTTACATTCAACAATTGGAGCCACAACTCCACTTTTGGCTTTTGGCTGCTTCTAACCTCGATACTCAGTTCTTAGGATTACAAGCAGCAAGAGCTGTTGGCTCATGCCTGGAGCTCCTACTTTGTGTAATTCTGTTTAGTTTTTTTTTTGGTCGGTCCTGGGGCTTGAACTCTGGGCCTGGGCACTGTCCCTCAGCTCTTCAGCCCAAGGCTAGTGCTCTACCACTTGAGCCACAGTGCCACTTCTGCTTTTTTTTCTACTTGTGTGGTGCTGTGGAATCAAACTCAGGGCCTCATGCATGCAAGGTAAGCAGTCTACCAATAAGCCATCTTCCCAGACCCTGTTTAGTTTTTTATGACACACTTTGTAGTCTAAGCCGACTTCAAATATATAATCCTTTTGCTTCAGCCTCCTGAATGCTTTAATTTTTTTGTTGTTTTGGGTTTTCTATGAAGTGTTTCTATTATGAAGATTTTCATGATCTTCTTGAGCTTGCAGAAAAGCAGAACTGATAATTGTCCTATTATTTTCAAGAAATGAACTAAAGTAGAATTATTGCCAGTATGATGTGAGGGAAATGTGTTTTTGAGGAGATTGAAACACCACATTAGGGTGAAAGTGGAATATAAATTGGTAGGGGGAGGTAAATGGTTCCAGACTGAAAGTGTGAACTTTAGTAATTTATATTTGCCATGTCATTTTATAAATTATAAATTATACAAATTATAAATTATTCTTTTTTAAATAACAAATTCTCTTTTTTAAAAAATCAGATGGAATTACCATGTGGATTGACAAACCTTGGTAACACTTGTTACATGAATGCTACAGTGCAATGTATTCGCTCTGTGCCTGAACTCAAAGATGCCCTTAAAAGGTAAGATTAAAGAGAAATTATTTAAATCTTTGGGTGATTTAAATCTTTGGGTAACTCCTTCTTTGGTAATTAGTAGTATTTTGCTTTTGAGCATACTGATTCACCGATTTTCAAGTGTTTGGTAGAATAGCTTTACCCCTCAAGCCTCTTACTTAGTGGTAGTCACTTCCTACATCTTTCATCCACTTTTAGCCATGTGTATATGTGTATATATGTGTGTGTGTATATATCTATATATATGTTTGTATATATATGTGTGTGTATGTATATATATATCTTTAGAGTTTTAGGCAGAAAGATAATGAATCCAAGGACAGCCTGTATTCCATAGCAGTTTTCAGGCTAGCCTGGAATATATTGATTCCCTTTCTCAAAAAGTCATGAATTAATGAATGAATGAATCCATGAATGTAAAGAAGTAACTTGATTCCATACTCTCGGCCCTTTTTGTTTTCATTACTGTTTTGAGGAGTGTTTGTGATAATGGTCATGGTAG